CCAGGCCTTCCCGTCTTCCACCGTCCTCTGAAGTTTGCTCAGTTTCATGTTTGTTGCATCGATGACACTGTCTAACCATCTCATCTTTTGCCGTCCCCGTCTTCTTTGACCTTCAATCTTTCCCAGCATCAGGGTCTTCTCCAGTGAGTGCTCCCTTCTCATTTGGTGGCCAAAGTATTTGAGCTTCAGTTTCATTATCTGGCCTTCCAGGGAACAGTCAGGGTTGATTTCTTTTAGGATTGACTGATTTGATCTTCTTGCAGTCCAAGGGACTCTCAAGAGTCTTCTCCAGCACCATAATTCAAAAGAATCTATTCTTCGGCACTTGGCCTTCCTTTTAGTCCAACTCTCGCAGCCATACATGACTACTGGGAATACTATTGCTTTGACTATGTGGACTTTTGTTGGCAGGGTGATGTCTCTACTTTTTATCATGCTGTTTAGGTTCGCCATCGCTTTTCTCCCAAGGAGCAGGCGTCTTTTAATTTCATGGCTGCTGTCACAGTCTGTGGTGATCTGGGATCCCAGGAACGTGAAGTCTGTCACTACTTCCACGACTTCCCCTTCTATTTGCCAAGGAGTGATGGGGCCGGATGCCATGATCTTAGTTTTTTTGATGTTGAGCTTCAAGCCCACTTTTGCGCTCTCCTCTTTTACCCTGAGCAAGAGGCTCTTTAGGTCCTCTTCACTTTCTGCCATTAGAGTGGTATCGTCTGCATATCTGAGGTTGTTGATCTTTTCCCCAGCAATCTTAATTCCCGCTTGTGATTCATCCAGGCCAGCATTTCGCATGATGTACTCTGCATATATATTAAATAAGCAAGGTGACAATATACATCCTTGTCGTACTCCTTTTCCTATGCTGAACCAATCAGTTGTTCCATATCCGGTTCTAACTGTCGCTTCTTGGCCCTTATACAGGTTTCTCAAGAGACATGTGAGGTGGTCTGGTACTCCCATCTCTTTAAGGATCTGTCATAGTTTGTTGTGATCCATACAGTCAAAGGCTTTAGTCAATGAAGCAAAAGTAGATCTTTTTCTGGTACTCTCTTGCTTTCTCCATAATCCAGCAAATGTTGGCAATTTGATCTCTAGTTCCTCTACCTCTTCGAAACCCAGCTTGTACTTCTGACAGTTCTCTATCCACGTACTGTTGAAGCCTAGCTTGTAGGATCTTGAGCATGACCTTGCTAGCGTGTGATATGAGTGCAATTGTGCGATAGTTTGAACATTCCTTGGCATTGCCCATCTTTGGGATTGGAATGTATACTGACCTTTTCCAATCCTGTGGCCACTGTTGCGTTTTCCAAATTTGCTGGCAAATTGAGTGCAGCACTTTAACAGCATCATCTTTTAAGACTTTGAATAGCTCAGCTGGGATACCATCATCTCCACTAGCTTTGTTGTTAGTAATGCTTTCTAAGGCCCATTTAACTTCACATTCCAGGATGTCTGGCTCGAGGTCAGTGATTATACTGTCGTGGTTGTCAAGGACATCGAGGTCTTTCTTGTATAGTTCTTCTGTGTATTCTTGCCATCTTTTCCTAATCTCTTCTGCTTCTGTTAGGTCCCTACCGTTTTTGTCCTTTATCATGGCGAGCTTTACATGGAATGTTCCCTTGATTTCACTAATTTTCTTGAAGAGATCTCTAGTCCTTCCCATTCTATTGTTTTCCTCTATTACTTTGCATTGTTCATTCAGGAAGGCCTCCTTCTCTCTCCTTGCTGTTCTCTGGAAATCTGCATTCAGTTGGGTAAATCTTTCCTTTTCGCCTTTGCCTTTTGCTTTCCTTCTTTCCTCTGCTATTTGTAAATTACCCACTATCAAAAAGGCACCTGAAGTGGTGTGCAATCGTCAGAAAATCCTTAGTGATGGAAAGTGCCATCAAGTCGCAGCCAACCTATGGCAATGTTGTAGGATTTTCAAGGCAAGAGATGAACAGAGATGGTTTGCCATTGTGTGCCTCTGTGTAACAACCTCAAACTTCCCTGGAGATCTCTCATCCAAGTGCTAATTTGGGCTGACTCTGCTTTGCTTCCAAGGTCTGATGAGATCAGGTTAGCCTGGACCATCCAGGTCAGAACAGAAAGTATTTACAATAATAAAAAGCAATTAATAAAAAATAAACTCTGGGAAAATTAATAAAAAACAAAGAACCTGCCAAGCCCCAGGTAGCCAGGCCCTGGCCTTTCAGTTTCCACAGAGGCTAGACCTGGAGTCCGCTGCTCCCTGCGGTCTGTCTTTGCCAAGAAGATGAGCATTCCGTATGAGCGTGACTGCTGGCAGCACCCCACAAACAATGCACAGCAAGGGGAAAAGGCAGATTGGCTCCCACCTTACTGGGAAAGTTTCTGGTGGGCCACTGCCCGAGGGGACACTTGCAAGCAAGACCTAGCTAAGACCAGTGGCCCCTTTGGTGCTGGCAGTGGTGCAGGATCTACTCAGCCTGGACCAGGGATATGGCAATGAGTGCTGGCTCACCCAGGACTGAGCAGAACAGTTCCTGCAGCCCCAAAGGGGCCACTTGGCTCCGCTTGTTCCCCAGGGCTGGTTTACCATCCCACTCCATCCCTGGCAAAGCATGGACGACAGAGGCCAAACCTTTCTCCTGGGAGGAGCAACCACAGCTGGCTCACTCCCCCCCCCGCCACTGCTGCCATCGGTGAGTCCAGCAGTGACAAAGAATCCAGAAGTCACCCCAAGCCACGGAGGGTGTTCTTTAGGCAGAGGGGAATCCTGAGAGACTGAACTAGCTGATCACAGGCTGCTCCACTACCGCAAATGTTGCCTCACCTGGATTAAACTTCAATTTGCAGATCCCTCACTGAGTCCCTAACTCCATTCAGATACTCATGCAGACACCAAGCTGAACTTCTTGAAATGGATGAAAATAAAAAGATCTGACTGGGTGTGTTCAGCATATGGATGCTGCTGCACTCCAACCAACAGGGCAATCTCCCCAGGGACTAAAAACACTCTGGGGATAAGCTGGACCCTTGGAGGCAAGGTAAAGTACAAGGGGAAAGTGGTAAACCCCTCTAGCATCCATCCCAGCTGGAGTGTAACCGCTGTGAGGCAGTGACTTCCCCAATCATCTCAGGCCTTCCAGGACAACACAATACTTAGTATTTATTATTTATTTATTTATTTGATTTATAAATAACAATTAGGATCCACATAAAATTATCTAAAACAATTCAGTTATAAAACAATTAAGTATCACAAGGTGCTAGCGATGATTAATTAATTACTTAGCAATGGCGTACTGTTTGGGGCCAAGAGGGATGCACAGAGGGTCCCACTCTCCTAGCTGAAGTGACAATTGCCATGCAGCTCAACTTCTGTCCTAGGCACATGCGGGTCTCAGCTTGTGACCCTATGGGTGCGTTCAGACGGGGGCTTTATATCGGTTAGGGTGCCGGTTCCAACTGTTGTACTCACCGGCGTTCAGACGGGGCACATCTGCCTCCTGTCCCTAACCGGTGTAAAGCCCTTTACACCGTTGCACTCTGCCACCAGGTCCCAAGTGGTGGTATACTGAGTGCAACGGTTGTAAATGGTGTACCCCTGCGTCTGATCGGTCTCCACCGTTCCACAGCCATTTCCGTCGGAAGCCTGAGGCTTCCGGCTTTCCCCCGCCCTTTTTTTTTTAAATTAGGCGATATGCGCTCGGGCGAAGCTTCGCCCTGAGCATTTGTTTAAAAAAAAAAAAGAGCCCTTAGTTTAACTTCCCAGAGGAGTCCGGGACTTAAGGGAGGCCAGGTTGGGCTTTAAACTTTAAAGGTAAGCCCTTACCTTTAAAGTTTAAATGTAATGGGGGGGGTTGAGCATGCGCAAAGATCGCCATTCTGTGAATGGCTGCCTATGCGCATGCTCAAACTGTGTTTTTTTTTTTTTTAAACTCACCGACGCCCGCAGCGTGTGAGCGAGCGTACACCGGAGGGATCCGCAAAATGAAGGTAAGTCTGATCGTGTTTATGCCGGCAGAAAGCCCCCGTCTGAACGCACCCTATGGGTCAGTACCAGGAGGGGTTTGACGACTTGTGAGGATTATACTCCATGGGGAACCTGAGTGATTTTTCCTTTGAGCCACCTTTGGAATGGTGGTGAAAAGTGCTGTTAAGTTGCAACCAACCTATGATGACCCCCCACTGGGTTCCCATGGCAAGCTGAGGCAGTTTTCCATTGCCTTCCTCTGCATTAGCGACCCTGGACTTCCTTGGAGGTCTCCCATCCAAGTACTAACCAGGGCTGACCTTGCTTGGCTTCCAAAATCTGATATGATCAGGCTAGCTTAAAGCCATCAAGGCCAGGGTACTTGGGGGGGGTGCTCCCCCCCAAAACCCTCGGTAACTTCTGTTAAACAGATGCTGCCTGGGAACCTTGGCTTTTTTGATCCCTTCCATCCATCAATGAAAACTTACCTGCTCTTGCTCTGTTTCCCCCCCCCCCCCCCCCCGCCGGACACTTCTACAGATGACGCTGATTTGTTGATTTTAAAATTTTAGCACGTGTAGTCTCAGACAGGCTCCTAGCCCAGACTGGCCAGGCAATTTAGGAAGGAACACTAAGCAAGAGACTTTGATATTGGTGCGATTTTAGGAAGGATATTGGCGAATTTAGGAAGGAACACTAAGCAAGAGACTTTGATATTGGCGCGATTTACGTCCCCATAAGCACGCGAAGGCTCATATTACACGCGAGGAAACACCTGCATTCCGCGGGATCGGGAACCCCGGCAACAGTGAGGCGACACACACTCTGCGTATGCTCAGGAACAATATACCGTTATCGCTTGGGGTTCAAGCCCCACCCCCACCCACCTGCGACGACCAGTCTCCCCCTGCGTCCCCGAACCTTTCCAGCGGCCCGCTTCGGCGAAAATTCAGGGAGGGGGGAGATCCCACCCCCGGCTGCGCCGCCCAGGGGGCGGTCCTCGCAGCGCCTGACTCCGCCCAGCCCGCCTTTGCGCCCTTATTAGCGAGCGGTTTGGCGCAGCCCAGGCAGTGCAGCCGTCGCAGCGCAGTCACGGAGGGTGCTTTTTGCCCCGCGGGCGTTGCGGAATTGAAGGGTGCCGGACCTGATCCTCGCTCCCTTTGGGGGCCTCCGCTCTGCCCCCCAGCACCGCTCGGATTTGTCTCGCTCGCAGCTAAGGGGGGCGGCTCAGTCCCTCCGACGGCCAACCAAGCCCGGCTCGGACGCCTCGGCGCGCAAGCAAGCCCTGCCTCGCCCGTATCATGGGCAGCCACAGCTCGAAGGCGGCCAAGGGGGACGTGATGGGCCAGCAGCATCCCGCCGAGGCGGCCGCCGGCGCCGCCTCGCCCTCCAAAACCAACGGCCAGGTGGGGCTTTCTTCCCCGGGGCGCGGCTGGGCGCCACTCGGCGGAGCCATTGTCTCGCTTTGCGGGGGGGGCGGGGGGAGAGAGAGAGATACCGATTCCTTTCCTCCCTTCGAAGGGCGGCTCCGGGTTGGGGTTCTGGGTTTGCCTCGACGCCCGTTGAACGCACGGCCATGCGCTGGTGATATTGGCCCCTTTTACTCGCCCCTGCTGGCATTGTGCGTCCTACGGGCTGGCGTGCCTCTGGCGCTCCCCCCGCGGGGGGTTGCGGAGTCTGGCCGAGACGGCCGCGAGGTCCGCCTTTGTTCGGCGCAACTCTCGGGCGAGAGAATCCCCCCCCCCACTTCCCGCAGGCTGTTGCAGAGCCGATAGCACAGGAAACAAAGGAAGGATCCCGGCTGGGTGGGGAGGCGGGAGCGCCGTGGCAGTCCCCTCGATGTAGCGGTCGAGATGGTCTTGGCTGTGTTTGGATCGACTGACCGGCGGGGGGGGTGGGGGAACACACCGCTTAGTGGTGCTTCGCTTCGCACGTGCAGTATGGGGGGAGGGTGATGGCTGTCGTTTCCTCTCTCTCCTTTTCGTTTTGCTCCCCTCGCGAGTAGAGTAGACTGAGTAGACTGGTTCCAGGAGCGGGGCGCAGACTGCTTTGCGAGAGCCTGCGCTCCGTGCTGCTGGCGGGTGCTTGCAGGGGGTGGGGGGGGCATTGCGTCAAATGCGGTGAGGGGGCTTTGCTCTCAGGTGGGGAAAGCAACCGGGAAGGCCCGCGGCGAGCCTTTTCCAGCAAGAATCGCGGGTCCGGAGCCTTCCTGTCTTCGCCTCTCTGGCTAATTCCGCCGCCCATTGTCGCCCGAGCCTCTCCCCGCCCTTTTAAAAACGTTGAAGGCGCTCGACGGACTGCGGGCGCCACCTGCTGGCGGTGCAGGACGGGTGGTGTCCGGCTGCCTTTTTTCCCGCCTTTGACGGAGGGCGCGGAGAATGTCCTGAAAAGGGGGGGGGGGGGTGCAAAGAGAAAAGGTCTGCAAAGTTGGAGTTGTGGGACGTGGCTAGTCCATGCTGGCGGGAGCAAGTCCCAGTGCGCCGCCTCTCTTGCCTCCTCAGTCTGCTAACAATTCGGTTTGAACCAGCACCCGCGTCTTAAGCAGGGTTTCTTACCTACATAGGCGTAAGATTGCTGCCTCTACTATTCGTTTGGGGGCCTGAGCCAAGATGGTGGAAGGGTAGCAGTGCTTTTGGCACCGCCAGGGTCCTAATTCCCCCACCTTCATCTGCCAGTGTGCTTGTGCTGAAGGGTTGATTTGACTGGTGTTGTGGCATTTGTGTCTGGGACATAGGAGTGGCTCTCTTCTGCAAAAGATGGGAATGACTCCACACATACACAACTTTGCAGTATGACCTAAGCTCAACTGGTGGTGAAATGCCTGATTTAGGGTGCTTGCAGGAGGGTGGAACAGCCAATTGGTACCTGGTAGCAGAGCCACCCTTGGTGAAGTTGGCATGATTTTTGAGCTGGTTGGTACCTTGTGCATAAGGAGAGCTGTAACCTGGGAACTAACAAATCTTCTGCTCTCTTTCCTCAGGAGAATGGCCATGTGAAAGTAAATGGAGATGTTTCGCCCAAAGCTGATGGAGAAGCTGCCCCCCTCAATGGCAATGGGTCTGCCGAACCAGTTAAGGAGGAGCCCAAGGTGGAGTTGGGCAGTGGGGATGCCATTGAGCCGGCACCAGTGGCCGAAGGGGCAGATGCCAAGCCAGAGGCAGCAGCCCCTGCCTCTGGGGCTACCAAAGAGACCCCCAAGAAGAAGAAGAAGTTCTCTTTTAAGAAGTCCTTCAAGCTGAGCAGCATCTCTTTCCGGAAGACCAAGAAGGAGACCAGCGACGCTTCAGCCGTCTCCTCTCCCGGTGAAGAGCAAGGGAAGTCAGAGACGAAGGGGGAGGAGAACACAGCCTGTGCTGCTGAAGAGACGGAGGCAGCCGGCACAACCAAAGAAGCAGCCCCCGAGGAGAAGGCTGTGGCCCCAGTCGAAGCCGCCCCTGCTGCCGAGGCTCAACAGGAAGCAGAGGCCCCAAGGGAGGAGGGTAGTACTGGGCAAGGGCCCAAGGAAGAAAAACAGCAACCTGGGGAGGATCAGGAGGACAGGAAGCCGGAGGAGACCTTGAAACCAGGGGAGGCCGAGTCCAGTCCTGCGCCTGGGCTTCCTGAGGCCAAGGAAGAATAGAGCCACCTTGTTGTGCACCTAACTTAAAAACAAAAACAAACTTTTTCGTGCCATCCTTCTCATTCCAGTGACCCCATGGAATTGCTGCCTTGTTCACAAAACACCATACACACCACACACATCTTTCCCTACGTTCAGCATAGAACTGACAAGCTTTTTCACCCCCACCCCCCTGGTTTTCCTTTTTTCCCCTTTTCCCCATTCCTTGTCAGACACTGTAAAGCAAAAAAGAAAAATGCCACTGGGATACTTTTGGTACTCTGCACAGCCGCTGTTGCCACTCGGAGTGAGCTTCCTTAAATCTTAAGACTGTACGGAGGAAGACTTCCTGGACGTAACTGGAACTTACTCAGTTTAATGAGAATCCAGATATTAACACCGAGTTCTGGTCTCTTGGATCTTCTGTTTCTACTAATCCTCAGAGCAGCTCCCCCCCCCAAAAAAGTCCAATAAGCCAGCAACCACTGTTCTTCAAAAACAAATGGATATTTCTCTTTTAATCTTTCTCAGTTTACATTCCTGGTTCTCAATTCCTTTAAAAGTATTTTGTGCTTTTTATAGAAACCAACAGTTTAAAAGCTAATCTGGTTAGTTTTTTATAATGTCTTGCTATTGGCTTAAAACCATAAAAACGTGTAAGTCCACTGTGTTTAATTTCTCTTCAGAGGGAGAACTTCTTTGGGGTTTGGGAGGGGGGACTTGGAGGGGCAATGGGAGAAGGGGTGGGGTTGGGAGATTACCAGCTATACGATGTGGGATGTTTTTTTGTTTTGTTTCCTTGTCTTTGTAAATAATTTTTTAATGACCCAACTTCTGATCTGCATTTTTCTAACTCCTAAATAAAAGTTGTATGGGTCTTATTGTAACATTTGAAAGGAATAAATGGTGACTCCCCCTGCCCCCTATCGGTTAGACTTGGATCTTTTCATCCTTTGCAGGTGAGTTCCTTATTCCACTGGTTAGGTGGGCAACGTGTTGTCTTAAAAACGAGCTTAATCAATGCTTCCCCCAATGCCTAATTAGGCCTGGCAGATTAGAGGAACATTATGCATCTGCTCAGGGCCCCCTCTGTCCCTAGCTTTGTGTGTTCCAGAGTTAAGCCCTTGTGTTTCATGTATTGTGACTAGCAGGGAATTGCACTTGGAAGGAATGCACGTACCACTGCAGTTTCACAATACGGAGGGTTTATTTAATTTATACCCCACCTTTTTCCAGTGGGGGATCCAAGGCAGTTTACATAATTCTCCTCTCCATTTTATCTGAACAACAACCCTGTGAGGTAGGTTAGGCTGAAAGTGACTATGGCAAGGGAATTGTAGAGACTTCAATATTAAGCTAGTCAGGTTGTACTGATCACTTTAAGCTCTTTTATCTCAAAACCCTCAGCCTCTCTAACCTGACTTTGTTCTAATAGCCCTGTGAGCAGTAGAAAAGAGTCCAGTAGCACCTTAAAGATTAACAAAATTTGTGGCAGGGTATGAGCTTTTGTGAGTCATTGCTCATTTCTTCAGATAGCCCTGTAAGATAGGCCAGTCTTCCCAAACTTAACATACTCCAAGCAAATTCACTGCAGAGTGCAGCCATTTTGGCTAAATCTCCAGCCAAGTACTTGAAGCCTATAACTTGTTCTGATAAACCTCAAACTCCACCTCAGGCTTGTGTGTTAAAAGCTGTGGTTGTTAGCATTGAACTTGCCAAAGGTGTGCCCTGATTCTGTATCCAGAATGGGAAGTGTACAGAAACTAACCATTTCCTAGACACATGAAAGTTCTATGTGTCTTTAGTACTAAAACTTGTGTTTTATGGCTAGCCAATAATGGTGTAAGCTTGTAGTCCCTCCTCAGATCTTTCATTTAACCTTAATGCTTAAGTGTTGTCCAACCTGGCGTTTCTGTATACCTCCCCTCCCCCCCAATAAACAGACTAGTTTTGCTATCTACCTTAAATACTGAATTTGCAAAACTCTAAAGGGGGCCAACACCCACAGCTAAGTGGCTAAAACACTGAATTCTTGGGGCAGGGCCTGTTAAAATGGGCTGCTTCTCTTCCCCCCCCCAAAAAAAAAATTGTGTGGATGTTGGAAAGTGGCAGCACTTAACCATTAGCACTCCCTGGCCTGAGTTTGAATGGGGACCATCTTTGCCTAAGGGAAAGCATTGCCTTGAGCTCTGTGGCCGTCACAGATTAGCGATGCTGCCAGTCTTATGCACCAGTAGCTTGACTTCAAGCAGCACTGTGAAAGGTGAGGAAGGAAGCAGCCTCTTTGAACAAATTAGCAGTGAGAAGGAAAAAGGGTTTTGTAGAACCTGTTGACTAGCAGGGTTTCAGTAGGAGCTTCTGAGAGTGGGTTCTAAGCATGACTATTTTTCATCAGGCAGGAACACTCCAGGAATCTTGTGCAATTTTTCCATCGTGGCCGTTAATGTGTAAGAGGTTGGCTTGGTGGCAGTGCATAGCCCAAATTTACGTAGAAAGCCAAAAAGGGTACATGTTCGTAAGCTAAAACTTGCCAGGTGTGCACGGCTGAACTGTGGATGCAGCATCTCATTTTTATTCAGGCATGGGAAAGGGCATGTTCATACCCTCTTAAGCTATAAATGTGATTAAGTGATTATACCTCCAGAGGACAAAGGGAGTGCTATCTTACCTTTGCCACATTTGGAAGAATGCCACACCATTGAATTTTAATACTGAAAAGTAGGAAGGCTTGGATGAAACATCTGTCTCTTTGCCCCAAAATATTTTTCATGCCCTGTTGACATAGCAGGGCTGGTGCACACAGGTATTTTGGAGATCATGAGTAACATGTGTTGTCATTCCCTATCAAGTTTCAGGTGCTCAGACTTGCATATGCATAGAAAATATTCCCCCTCAATCTTTCATGGTCAAGGAGCCTTGCTCCATGTTGAAGTTAGTGGCTGCAGTGCACAATGCTAATGTGTGGGATGCAGTCACTGCCACAGCACGATCACTTGGTTTAAAACCATCTTGGACTGATTGCTGGGTCTTCATCTGTGGCTCTAGAGGCACCTCCTATGTTCAGCAGTTGGCCTCCTGGGGGATACACTGCAGAATGGACAGCGCTGGTTGTTTGTGAACACCCCAAAGCAAGTGGCTACTAGCTGTTGGTAATGAGGGTCTTTGGTCTAATCCAGCAAGGCCATTTGTATGGCAAGTGCCCATTTGCACAGAAAGAACCCCCCCCCCCCTTTCTTGGCAGCCACTTCTGTTCCCTTTTCTGAAGTGTGCTTGCACATGAAAGCTCATACCTTGAGAATTAAACTTTGTTGGTCTTAAAGGTGCCACTGGACTCAAACTTTGTACTTCTGTTCCCTGCAGGGCTAAAGTTCATTTCCTGGATTGGAGGAAATGCTGGTTTGAGTATCTAGGGGGAACCAGTAGCCAGGGTAGCTCCCCCTGGCAGGGCTTAAGAGACTGCAGGAGGTGCACACACACTATCACTTCTGGCTAGGACAACAAGAAGGCACCTGCATCAGTCATCCTGCACAAGGGAAGAGAGAGAGCAATGTGCCCAGTTGAAACTGCAGAGCTCCTGCTGTACAAAACCAGTTGCTTGGCTGGCTGGAGACCAATGTTCCCTCTAAGCTGTGGAGTCCTGTGAGCAAAAATTCTACTTTGTGAGATCCTGGCATTAAGGTTGTGAGCGAGCGATTGGGCTACTGCATACATTAGTTTGCTCTGGAGCCGTCCTTCCTGAGCTAAGAGAAAAATGTGTGAGCTGGAGGCTAAAAAACTGTGAGCTAGCTCACACTAACTCAGCTTAGAGGGAACACTGCTGGAGACTGGGGACAGATGAAGCCCTATTTCAGAACAAAATCCATGAGCCCCTTGAGTCTGGAGGGTAGAGGCAGAGAAAGGCTTCAGCCTCTAAGGACCGACCCAGAGCCCAGACTCAACAGGTAGCAAGTACTGTTCAGAGCTGATGCCTCTGGCCCTCTCCTTGGAACTCAGCTTGCCCCCCCCCCCCCAATCTCTTGTTGGTCGGTAGATTGAGTCACTACTGCCCTGCCATAGGTTCACTGTGCAGTATTAGCAGAAAAGGATGGTCCAAGATGAAAAGGGGCCTACAAGACAATCCTTCAGCAGCTTTCATCAATTCACACTCCACAACTCATTTGAAATGTAGAAACATGGGGATAAAAGTAGTAAAATAAAGCCATGTAATTCACTCTTGCCTAACAGAATTTGAATGGTGGTTTTCAAGGCAAGAGGCAAACAGATGGTTTGCCATTACCTGCTTCTGTGTAGTGACCCCGGACTCCCTTGATGGTCTCCCATCCATGTATTAACCAGGGCTGACCCTGCTTGGCTTCCACGATCAGGCTAGCAGGGCCTTTCTATTTTGTTTAAAGAAAGCTCCACCAGCAGGAACCTTCACATGAGGAAGGCAGCTGTACTAGGAGCCAGTCGGGAGAAGCTCTCTTAGTGTGGGCTCCGCAGAAAGCAAGAGACGCCCTCGGGGTCTGCTACCCAAAGTGGAGGAGGGTGAAGTACATGCCTAAGATCTCACCACGAGGGCCTCCCTCAGAGGGGGTTTTTGGCCACAGAGCAAAACTTTCTTGCTTCCCCACCATCCCCAAATGCTGCTGCTGCCTGGGTCCCAAGCTACCCCACCCCAACAGCTTGAGGAGTCAGAGGTCCGTGGGGGGGGGGAATCTGTGAAACCTGCCCACCCCTTTCCCCCATGGGATCCAAGTCTTTGTGTCCATGCCAATACTGCATCCTGCTCCAAGGTTTCAACCTGCTGCCATTTTGAAAGACAGTGCACCCCACCCACCTGGGTATCTAGTAGCTTTTAAAAAGGGTAGCAGTACTCTTGGCGGGTGTTTGCCGGGGGCGGGGGGCTGGCTGGCTATAGAAAACCTGACTGAGCTTGGAGCTTGCATTTCATTCTCTGATCTCTCTACTGCTGGCAAATAGTGAACAATTCACCACCCAAACAGAGAAACAGACTGGTTTTATTACAAAGATTTTTTTTCTTTCTCCAAGAAAATGAAAATAAAAAGTATCTTTAAAAAAACCACAATATATATATCTCTTCCCCAAACCCTTCCCCCCCCAAACGCACAAATACAATGATCTTTCATTTCACCAAGTACAAGTTATCAAAGAGCAGGAAGATCTGCACGGAATTCGCACCCAAAAGACTTAAAAACCAGGTAAACCAGTGGCTTAAAAAAATAAAACCCCTTTCCCCCCCCCCCCCTTCCCCTAGAGTGACATGGCTAAGGTAGCAGTATTGCTGGGGCCAACCCCTGCTGTGGCGCTCTGCGAAAGGACACTGCCCCACTCTGTGCCCCCCCCAAGACTCCTGCCCCACTTGCCGGCTCCTGCAAGATGCCCTTCTCCAAGTATCAGACAGACATGGTGCTATCTAAACAGACCGTTCAGAAAGCAACCTTGCCTGAGCACCGTCTCCCACAGAACTGGTTACCACACACACACACACACACATTATAGGGCCTTTTGAGTTCACGCAAAGCCAGGCGGGACTGGGACAGTGGCAGGGGGAAGAGGCGGCTCCTCCTGACACAAGGAGCACTGATCCTGGAGAGAGCCACAGTCAAGATGAAGTGATAGGTGCAGGACCACCCCCCGAAAACCTCCTCCTCACCCTGGCGCATGTACTCACCCAGCCCCTGTGTCCTCCTCACAACACCTGCTGCAGCACAGAGCTTCCCTGCACTAACCAGGCATCAGGGATGCAAAGAGGCAGCATCAATGTACAGCTGCCCAAATGAGGATTCTTTTCACAGCCATTGCCGGTTGGAATGCAAGCTCTGTCACTAGCACACACCCTCCCACAAAGTTTCCCCAAGTTTTATGGCTGTATCCACACCTAAAAAAAAATAAAAATCCCTATTTAAGAAAAGAGAGCAAACCAAACTCCCAGAGTGTACAATTCTCAAAGGGAAAGGTTCATCATTTCAAAAGGAGAGAAAGTGCAGGAGAAACTGAGTTTGTTTTCTTTAAAGAACAAAACCAAGAACACGTTCCCAATGAAGCAGCGGCAGGAACAGGAGATTAAGGGCCCCTCTGTCTCTCTCTCTCTCAAGCTGGGGCTGAACAGAATCCTCCCCATGGCTTATCCAGGGAGGGGCAGAAGGAAATGCGGCCCAGCTCTCTCTCTGACTCCCCCCAATATATTTATATCGAAATATCTACAGAAACATATAAAATACAAATTCTGAAGGAACAGAAGGGGGGAGGGGGAGCAGAGAACATGGGAATGTCAGCTCCCCACCTGCCAGCCACTTAAGTCGATTTCGTCTCTTCCTTCACCCTGTTCAATTAAAGCAAAAAAGGGGGGTAATTGTTAGCAGTGGCTGGTAGGTGCCGGCCCACATTATTTAAGAAACCTCAAGGGTCTGGGCATCAGCCCTTCCAAGCACATAAAGCAGATTCCTCAATTGTGAAGTCAGCATGCAGACCCTGTGTGAGCATTCACCTTTCCTTCCAACAGTGCCTGTGAAGGAAAGCAAACTGTGCTGCCACCAGAGAGAAGGCCCTTCACCTCACCCGCTGGGTGCCCTCTCCCAACTGTTGCATGGATTTAAAGAACGCTCCTGTGAGATGGCCATTTTGTCTCTCTTAACATACTGGTTCAGGGAAAACTGCCCAAATGGGGTCTGCTAATGCTCGTCCCAAGGGCACCACTGCCCCCAGGAGAGAGCTGTTTCCTCCCTAGAAAGCAGAGCAAAGGAAAAGTCAGGATGAAGCTTCAGTTAAGCATGACCCTGCTTGCGGGAATACACCAGAATACAAAAGAGATGCATGGACAGCAAGACGCTTGGTCCTCCCAAATTCCTGGGCAAGTTACAACTCTGCTACTGTGTACGGTGGCCCCACTAGGAAGAGCGCTACACTCCAGCAATAAGAACCTGCTTGTGGTCCCTTGCCCGAGAGAGGTCCGGCTGTCCTCAGGTAGGGCCAGGGCCTTTTCAACCCTGGCCCCTGTCTGTTGTAACTCTCTGCCAGAGAATATCCATGCCTTATGGGATCTATGACCTTTCTGTAGAGCTTGCAAAGCAGAGATGCTCTGCTGGGCCTTCGGTTGAGGACAGCCAAGTCATACCCTCCTACTCAGCCCTCTGCACCCCCTTCACCCAGGGGCTGGTGGGAACAAATTCTCATCATCTTGACAATGTGAAGTATTCCGAGTAATATATTGTTTTTAGCAATTTTAATGTTATTTTATTGGATTATTATTGTACTTGTTCTGATGTAAGCCGTCCTGAGTCCTGCTTGCAGGGAAGGGCGGCCTAACAAGCTGAATTTAATTAATAAATAAATAAAATATTCAGCTTCCTGTTTTTGCTACCTGAGACTGCAAAACATACTTGAGAACTTCTGAGCACCCAGCAGACCACAGCTTGAGGCTAAGTGGGCTGTGTCCAAAGCCTGGCAAATGACAAGGCAGGCTAAAGCTAGAGAAATCGCAAAACTTTGTACGTGTAGCGACATACACCATTAGTGGGTTTGCCTGAATGGCAAGCTGCCTGACCATGACAGCTATATGGAAGAGGGAGGATCACGGAAATGAATGGCTATAAATAGAACAAAAGTTATCATGATCAATCTTCTTTGCTTAATTGAATCATTCTTAATACAGTCATAGTCGCATAAATAACATAATCATATACAAATAATCACATACAAATGTTCAAATATGAACATCAAACCAGTCCTTCAAATGATACACCAAGGGAGGGGGCGCCACATAAATCCTGGAAAGAATCCTCAAAAGAACTGTACATTGTAGCTACCTGTTGTTCCACTGGGGAGACTCCCAGGACTTCACCATTTTTCCAATATGTATATGTAGTGATCCACTTCTGTGTTCCAAATAGCCATCCAAAGGGAATCCACCATGTACACCATGCACAGCATTTCTGTTTACAAAAGGTCCCGGCGACGAACAGTCGACTTGAAATGTTTGTTTCACCCCCTGGTTTCTTCAAACAAGATCCAAACAGGAGCTAAATAATATGAAGGCTGAAGTGGAAACACTGGAACAATTCCTTAAAAATGCTTGTACCCTGAGGAGCTGCGGTGGCTCAAGTGGTTAAGACGCTGAACTGCAGGCTGTGGAAGGTCAGTAGTTCAGCAGTTCGAGACCCGGGTGCCGCAAGACGGAGTGAGCTCCCATCTCTAGTTCAAGCTCCTGCCAACCTAGCAGTTCGAAAGCAAGACATTGCAAGTAGATAAATAGGTACCACTTCGGTGGGAAGGTAACAGCATTCCGTGCGCCACATGACCACGGAAACGTCTTCGGACAGCGCTGGCTCTTCGGCTTTGAAACGGAGATGAGCACCGCAACCCTAGAGTCGGATTCGACTGGCTTTCGAGCAAGGGAACCTTTACCTTTACTTTACCCTGGGAATGTATGATAAGAAACTGCAGGAAACTGACATGAATGTAAAAGAGTTTGAGAATAGTCTTAAAGAGATCAAGATCAAAAAGTTCAATAGGGGCTTGAGAGATTATGCTCGGCATCACGTATACATTCGGTGGTTTGGTTCTAATATTCAAAAGAAAAAGGTCACATGGGCTAGTCCTGTACAATCCTTCTCTGAGGAGAAGATTCTGAGTCCACATCAGGAGATGAAGGGGGATCCAGCAGGAGCTTTAGAGATTGTGTTACTAGGAGCAGTTCAAGGGGAATTTTTTCCCCCAATGAGGATCCCAGAGGAGAGGGAAGCTGAAGATTTAGTGGTTAACTTGTCTAATCGGGCATTTACAGCTGTGGAATGCTGCGTGTGCAATCTGGGTTTGGGTTTTGTACCCACCCCTCATTATAAGATCTTTAATACCAGAATAGACCTATTCAAACTGATACGATGAATCAAAAACCCCAAAAGGTTTTTGGTGACAGTGCTTATGATGAGATTAAAGAGTTTCATCCTAAACCCGCTTTTAGTCCTAACGTGAACAGTTCTTGCATTACAACTTTTGAAAAAGTGGTTATTAGAGATATTAGGAGGGTTGAATCCAATTTTCACAGGTCTTGGAATAATTTATCTAGAACGTAGTCTGAAGCATTTGGCAGGAGATGACAGCATTATTATAAAACCAGTGGACAAAGGGAGTGCCATAGTCATTTTGAATCAGGAGGAGTATTGTATGGAGATTAAATGTCAACTATCGGATAGGGAGAGTTATCTACCCATGGCTTATGATCCAACGGTGGTTGGATTGATAAAGATTGTTTTGGATGAGGCTGAATCTATGAGGTTTATAGATAATAATACTTATAGATTTTTGTTGAATAAACATCATAGGGTCCCAGTTTTATATGCTGTGCCCAAGATCCACAAGCTGGGGCTCCGCTCTCCTGGACGCCCCATCGTATCAGGCTCCAACTCCCTCCTAGAACCATTCTCAAAGCTTGTTGACCATTTTTTGAAACTGTTTGTTTTTAAGATGGGATCACACATTAGGGACACAAGGAACTTCATTCCTATTGCAGAAGGTTGTGACATCCCTGAGGAGGCGGTGCTTGCCATCATGGATATTGTGTCCCTTTATATAAGCATCCCACATAAGGAGGCTCATTGTGTGGTGGAGAAGCTTTGGAAACTAGAGAGCATTTGTTTTCTCCAACATTCATCGTGTTACAACTTATTTTCAATTTCAGGAAGATTTTTATTTTCAAAACAGAGGGGTGGCCATGGGGAGCACGTTTGCCCCCAGTGTGGCCAATTTGTTTATGGCTGATCTCAAAGTTGAAATCATTTGTAATTCAAGTAAAAATCCATTTCATGACAAGATCATCTCTCTATATAATAATTTTGTTTTGGAGTTGCAAGATCCCATGCCTCCCGAATCAGTTGGCTCCCTGATCTGCCAATCAGAAGGTGTGCCAATCCCCTCGCTGCATTGGCTGGCTGTGTTGCCTGAGTCCTGCCCACAAAAGCAGCGGCCAGCATCTCAGACTCAGTGTGATGCAAGCCAGCAGACGGGACGGATGCTCCAGCAGCCGGAGGGCAAGGAGGCCGACTGGGAGAAAGGGGGGGAGCGGAGCACAAGGGCTGAGGCTTGGGGGAATGCTGTTAAGATAGCGGCGGGAGGCAGCGGCCTATGCCACTGACACCCCTCTCTGTCGCCTGGCTGGTACAGGTAGCCTTCCGCTGCGGGGTAAGTGAAGACGGGGCAGGAAGTGGAGGATAGGCCTGAGCAGACGAGGGAAACGTGGTGAGCGGCCGTAGGGCCTTGATGCTAGACGCCTCGACGCCGCAGCGGGAGAAGGGTGGGTGCTGAGGCAGGACAATGGGGCCAGGTTCTACACCCACCCTCACACCAACCACCCTTGACCCGGCCAAGTCGCATAACAACTCGCCGCCGTGTAGGAGGGTGAGGAGGCCAACGCTGCCCAGATGCAGGTAGCTGGCTGCCTGCCGAGCAGACGGGGGCCGGCGCCATGGAGGAGAAGGCAGCCAAGGAGGAGAGCGAGGCCGAGATCCAGGAGCTCCATGGGCCCTGGACCTGGCTCAGCAAGTGGGCCCACCAGTGCCCAGCTGAGGCCGGTGCAAATGCGTGGCGCAGAAACAGCCTGTAAGCTACTTTCTAGATCTCGTTGTATTGCTTCTACAATGGGCTTTGCTACTAGTATTATATAAGTGTTATATTGATGATCTATTTTTAATTTTGAAAAATGAAAGGGATAGAGAATCATTTTTTTAATGGATGAATAGGGTACATCCAAATAGATTAAGAGATTAAGACATTTACAGCAAAATAAGGGGGGCTCACAATATGTCTGTGATCTTGTTCCACCTGTGCCACTAGGAATGTAGTGTATGCTATAATATGTGAATGTCAGTTGATGTGTATAGGGAGCACCACACATCCAGTAAGAAAAATTTTTGGACTCTAAGATCAAACAGGGCCACTTGTACTATCTCATTAAATGGCGGAACTTTGACCCTAGTCATAATTAATGGGTGAAAAGTGAACATGTTAAAGCTCCCAGGCTCGTTCAAGCTTTTCATAAAGGCCACACCCACAAGCCTGGTGGTGGTGGTGGTGAAGGCTTAGGGGGGGCAGAATGTCAAACTCAAATCCTCGTTTGCCAGTGTTTCTCTGTTATGGATCTTTATGCCTCTGTAGTTCTGCAATTGGGATGTATTGGATACTTTCTCTTTAAGTAACGTTCAGTTTAAGATAGATATGTTAACTTGACATAGCTGCAGTTTGAAATATTAGGGCATAGCCGTTACTTTTTCTTTAAATAATGTTCAGTTTAAGGTAGATTTGACAGTAAAGGATTGTGCCTCTTCATGAGTGGTAACAGCCTTTTAATGTCTCCGTGTTTGCGGGGGTAGCTTTCATGCAATGAATGGGAGCGGATGGCAACTAGTAAGATAACACTGAGATTTCAGTACTGAATGAAAAACACTTGATATTGATGTTAAGTTGCTGATTGGAGTGGGTTATGCTTGTGGCTGCTACTTTTGTATTGATTGCTGAGATTAACTGTTAATTAATTATTAATTAATTAGTAAATCATTGAGATTAATCGTTTTTACAGCACAGAAAGGAGGAGGTGGAGGTGGTGGAGGAGGAGGAGGTGGTGGAGGAGGGGGAGGAGGGGGTGGTGGAGGAGGAGGGGGTGGAGGGGGTGG